CACTATTTATGAAAACAGATGAAGTTCTTGGGGGTGTAGAAATGAAATAAAATGGGGTTTAACGTCCTACTTTTCTAAACACTTGGACCACTGAAGACGGACATGCTCAACCAAGCGCACGGTGTCCGGATAGCCGTGTTTACCGGGATCGAACACGAGACCCCTAGTTATTGAGCTATTGCCATACGCACGGAGCCACCAGGGTGGTAAAAACGTATTGCGGAAATTTACTCAAAGCATCCCCGATTCGACAAGGAGTCTATATGATCGCTGGTAACGGAATTGGGATCTTGCAGACACAAACAAACTTCATCACATCAAGCATCTCTTAAGAGACTGGCCAACCTCCTATAAAACCAACATGAGGGATGAAGTTATTTTGTGTCGCTCTCGTATTGGTCATACTTTTTTGATTCACATTTCTTATATTAAAGCGAGAGCCCCAATCAGAATGTGAACACTGCCATGTTTCTTTGACAGTTAAGCAGATTTTGGTTGAGTGCAAGCATCTCAAGAATGTTAGATCTCATTTTTACCGTTATCACATGTTTTCCAACCGGGTATTCATAATAATGTGTTAGACTTTTTAAAACCGACAGGTCTTTGTTTTAAATTTCGATTGTATATATCATTTTCATTTATCTATTATAATATTTGTATGCTTAAAAGTTCTTTTTCCACTTGATAAGAAACGACAGATTCTGTGTTGGAAGAACTGGAGAATTCTATCCGTATATTTCCGACTGTACCAAATACTACCAATGCTCAAATGGTATGACTTATATCAGTGATTGTCCCTCGTCTTTAGTATGGAATCAGGCAAATAAGATATGTGATAGTGTATGCGATCAGTATCATCCAGAATTAGATGTACCAACGACTGTTCAACAGACCACACTTGGAGTAGCAGCATCAACAACTCCAAAGCCTCAAGGTAAGCTTATGGTTTATAATTCCACCCAAATGGATTAGTGCTAAATGATAAGGCAATCTCAATTTTTGGTCATAGTTCAAGAGATGTAAACAGGGCTAGCGCTAATCCTCACCCTAACCCTGGATCTAGCCCCAATACTTACCCTAACCCTAACCTACAATCTCGCCAACAATCACGTCCCCTGGCCTTGACAGACATTTAGCTGGCCTTGACAAATAGATTTAGCAGGGAATCCACCCTCGGATTGTTAAAGCATCGGGTTATTAAAGTTTTATAAGCCAAAAATAACATGGACTAAGTCTAGTAATTATCAAACATACATTATGCAAGAGCTAAATCTGTCTTCCAACCTCGTGGGTTTTCTCCGGGTCCTCCTGTTTCCTCCCACTGCTAAAGACCCCTACGCGCAAGCGAATTATGGAAATAAAATTGAACCATATGTAAGTCCCGAAATGACCTAGTCTGTGTCGAGTGGACGTTAAACCCCATTCTCTCTCTCTCTCTCTCTCTCTCTCTCTCTCTCTCTCTCTCTCTAAATCTGTCTATTGCTGGTCTTTCTTTAGGCCTGAAATGATATCTAAATTATTAATAAGACATTAATTAACCTATCCAGACCATAATCAACTCTAGATGGCATCGCTAGCCTGCGATCCTTAGTGGATTATGAGTCGATTTTCTGCATAAATTTCCTTTACGATTTAACGATTAAATGGATAATCGAGACTATGCTGTTTATTCTACTGACATTAGTAATGATGATCGAGGCTAGGCGGAAATTTCAACCTCTTAGTTCTTGGTTCATAGTAGATCAATTTGAATGAAATTTTCAGCAAAATGTCTATACATCATCTAGTTTTTAACTATTATAGTGAAAACTGCCAACTCGTTATCGAATCTCCCATTATGTATCTTTAATGTAGTGCGAGTTATAAATGTACTTGGCTACACCGGAAGTTGTAACGACTGGTGGTCTTTCTATTTATGTATTTACCGTCCAATACATAATGTATGATACGGACAGGTTGATTTAAAGTTCATCCAGATTTTCAGGCGTGGTTCCTCCTTGTAAGTGGTGCAGGACGGAGGGCATGACAAGGACAGCTGTCTAGTCGTATGGATGGGACAAAAATCCTGGGTCCCGTGTACACATTGGCGTGCACGTAAAAGATCCCTTGACAGTTGGAATTCGATATAAGAGTAGGCACAATTTCCCTCATAGCACACTGTATGGCGTATGCCCGTCTTCATTAGCCCATGTTGGAGCAGAACAGTAGGACGCTAAACCCCATTTCATTTCATTTATTTCCTTTATCTAGCATTGTCCACATTTTAATTAAGTCTGTTTTGTGTTTGTATTGAACAGATCCAGCAAGAGGTTGTGGTCGGTTTACCAAGTTACTGTTCTCTCCAGATGGCGACGTTCTTTTAGATTGTCCAGTCCTAGAAGAACGAACAACAAGCTCCTATTTAGAATGTCTTTATCACTGTGTGCTCCGTACTGGATGTATGTGTTTAAACTTTATGAAGGGTCAACCGAGTTCAAACTGTTATTTATTAGACTGTGGCGTAGCTACAAGTTATAAAGTTAAAGAAACGCCGAATGGTGTATTTATTTGTTTGTAAAACATCTATGTGGACACCATGTTTGTAAAACATTCATGTGAACATCCATGTTTGTAAAACAACTACGTGAAAACCATGTTTGTAAAACAATCATGTGAACATCCATGTTTGTAAAACATCCATGTTAACACAATGGAAGGGGTTAAAGGATTAAAGTTAACTCTTAAATATTAAGAAAATCACATAACAATGGCGAATTAACATTGATAAAAACTAAACCTCAAATGTTTATTATATTTTAGAGTCTATGATTGTACGGAATTCTATATTTTATCGTGTATCAAGATTGTCATCCTTTAAAAAGAATTAAACAGTTTAGTATGTAATAATAAATTTTTATGTTATTTTTTTTTCACATGACAAAAGTTACTGGTAAACGGTTACCATTCTTTACTGTGCATTATGTTGTGCATTCCAAATTTGTCATTTTTACCAACATAAACTGGCTACCTTGGCCTGATAGTTACCAACCAACCCCACAATGAAAACAGCGTCGCTTCAACAGAAGATGAAAATACCAGGCATGATTTATTTTTCGAGCCATCATGTACCAACCCGAAGTTGCGTTCTACCAAATAACCTTGGTGTGTTTAATTCAAGCCTGTACTGGCGACTGATAAACTCTCTCCAAAATGTCCACTTTAAGCTTAAAATCACGCTGTGATATGCCACCATTTAACTATACATTAGGCCCATTTCAAATACAATGCGATCTCTCAACCGATACATAGATAAGATAAGATTTTATTGCATCGAAACATCCACTTAGGACAGCATACAATATAAACGTGTACAAGAAATTATAACAATATGACAATTATTACACAAGACACACAATATTGCATCGGAACCTCCCTTGAGGACAACATACAATATACGTAATATTAAGTACAGGTGCATCGGAACCTCCCTTGAGGACAACATACAATATACAAAATATTAAATACAGGTGCAAAAAATTGGACGGATACAAAAATATGGACGGACATAAATTCAGAGCACTCATAAATAAACAGTATGGAACCTGGATATGAAACAAAACGTACACAGTATTAAATCACATGACTCGACAGTATAAGACCCACATATACAGGGTACATAATATATCAAAATACAAAACAAAGCGTGCGCACATAAAAGAAAAGAAAATATCATGCATATTTAACAGTTCAGATGTCTCTCCTCAGAAAAGAGAAGTAGACAAAGGCTGTGACACTTGTGGCTATAATACTCGGCGGGTCGAATAGATTTTCAAATGAAAAGGTTAGACCAGTATTGTCAAGAGTTTGAGAGGTTTGACAATGTATAGGAATTTAACGCTATGTTGTTCAGACTATATTCGTTATGGTTTAGACCGATAAATCACGACACCGAGGTTATGCTGAGGAAAGAAAGACTGAAGAAAATAACCCAAGAAAATGAAAAACCGATTGTTCATTCCTTTCTTCCCCAGCATAACCGAAGTCGAGGAGTTTATCTTGCTTGTAAACGGTCTATGTTTACATGTACGTAAAATGAGAATATCCCAGTAAGAAAAATCTTATATCATGTTTTCTTCTGGGAAAGAAAGCCTACCCTGGAAGAATAACCCGTTACAGGTTTAAAGAAAACCTTTAGGAGAATAACCCCAAATTCCCCTGTATATATTCAAAACCGCCTCCGACTTTCAGACCGCAAGTTATTCCGGGAATAGAATATGCCCCAAAGATCAAAGAGACTTACCGTGCTAGGTTTACAAGGGCAGAGTGTGTTCTCCAGAGCTAAAAAGTGGTGTTCAAGTATATGTTTATAAGTTGTTGCCAATGTTGTATTCTGAATAGCGTAAGGTCCTCCGCCAGGTGATAAAAAAATCCCACCAAATTGTTTAAAAATGTCTGCATGGTGTTCAAAAACGCTCAACATAAAGTGGAAATTAACGGACTTTGCAGTCGAACGTCGAAAGGCTCTTCTTTTTGATCATAAGAAAACACGGGACATTTGGAAAAATATAACGTCCACTCGACACGAACTAGGTCATTTCGGGACTAAGATATGGTCCAATTTTATTAATATAATTCGCTTGCGCGTAGTGGTCTTTAGCAGTGGGAGTAAACCGGAGGAACTGGAGAAAACCCACGAGGTTGGACAGGCGACCCTACCCCTTGTCACATACAACCGGGAAATCGAAACCACGGCAGTTGACTCAATGACAGACCTTATGATACAGCGCACACGCGCTAACCATTCGGCAATCCAACCTCCCCAGAAATAACTGAATAATGTTATAAAGCAGATTACACGTTAGCCAGAAAGTGTCTTGTGTTATATATATATATATATTCTATCAAGAAATCAATAACGATATTACCTCTTACCGGACGTTGATCCAATGAAACAGAATCATAAACACCGTACATGATCGTTGTAAAGTAACGTCACTGTTACATGATCGTTGTAAAGTAACGTCAGTCAAATAATATTATCCATAGTTGTAAAAATCACATTGGCAAAATAATACTGCTCATAGAAGAACAATATTGTTTATTTATTTGTTTGGAAGAAACGCAGATATGTGCTCAAAATGTGTGGATTAACGAATCTGATACTTGTTTTAATTCTATCAATTCTACCAACATTAAAAGGGTAAGTATCTAATAGTATATGTATTATATAGGTAAGTAAAAATATATACAATGTATGAAAATTACTATATTTATTGTCTAGTGTTCGTTCTACCGTTTCAAACACCGATTGTTTAGAATTTAAAGGAATGTTATAAGGCTCATTTAGGAGACAAACGCCGATTGTTTAGAATTTAGAGGGCTGTTATAATGCCCATTTAGGAGATAAACACCGACTGTTTAGAATTTAAAGGGCTGTTATAATACCCATTTAGAAGATAAACACCGACTGTTTAGAATTTAAAAGAATGTTATAATGGCCATTGCAGCGCCACAATCTCTGAGTTATTTCTTTACGAAACTCAATACACACGGCGACCTATTACAATAGTTCCTGTTCGTGGATTCATAACATTCGTGTTTCGGTTGTAAATGTTTTTACACGCATTTATATACATTTTATAGCAGTGGAATATATCCCATGGTAAAACAATTTTGAAGACAATCACATTCCGGGTAATCGCCCAGGAACTATACAAAATGTCTTAACTCCTTGCGATATGTCGACGTTGGTGGCGATAGAATAAACGTTCAATATTAAACACAATTCGTCGACTGAAATATAAGAGATTTGATTCGCACTTCAAAGTTTAAGCGGTCTCCCCTTGTCAGTGGTGCAGGGCGGAGGGTCTGGTGAGGACAGCTGTCTAGTCGTTCGGATGGGACAAAAAAAAACGAGGTCCCGTGTATACATTGGCGTGCACGTAAAAGATCCCTTGGCAGTAGGAATTCGATATAAGATTAGGCCATAGTGCTGCTACCCGGGCATAAATTTCCGTCATAGCACACGGTAAGACGTATGCACGTCTCAATTTCAACGTTTAAGTAAAAAAACTACGATAGCATGGAAGACCAAACAGCTCTTTATTCAGTATTCTTAGTTCTTAACCCATAGTCCTTAATTCTTGTTTCTTCATTTTTTTGTCGTATTTCGACATTTGTACACTAAAATTAACATTTGTATCTTAAAATCAATTTGTATGTCTTTGATGAAATGTAAATGTGGATTATTTTTTTGATTTACTAAAATCAATTTTATCTTTATATTAAAATACAATTAAATTAAACAAAAATACATTTTACAACACACATGTCTGATTTGTAAAATAAATATTGATTTTAAGATAGAAATGTTAATTTTAGTGTACAAATGAAGAAATAAGAATTAAGGACTATGCATTAATGACTAAGAATTAAGAAGACTAAATAAAGAGCTGTTTGGTCTTCCATACGCTAGTACTATTATGGACTAAGAACCGGAACCGAGCATGACGTTATCTTGGAATTGTTCATTTCCCAACAATAAAACAATTATATACACGGACAAGCGACAGTCGTTCAAACGAGTTTACTTTGAACATATTTTTACTTGTCTTAAAGGTCACGAACATGTTTACTAACAAGCATTATTGAATAAATCGAAAATTTAACCTTTTATCCTGGTTCTGTTCTGTTATTATAAACCTAACAAGAGTGGCCGTCGCATGGTATTGAATCCATTTTGAAGTCATTAACTTTGCTACCTCATCATCTTTGATTACAGCGAATACAAATACACAAAATCTATACTCGCAAAAAATTACTCCGCGAAATATTAATCTTATATTTGTTTTAACATTAAAGGACAGATAACTTTTGTGTAGGAAGAACTGGCGAGTTTTATCCGTATATAGCGGACTGTACAAAATTCTATCAATGCTCCTCCGACCAGACTTATATTAAGGACTGTGCAGGCGGATCTTATTGGAATCAACCTTTGAAGAGATGTGAGACAACATGTGACCAATATCATCCAGAATTAGATGAACCAACCACTGTTGAACAGGCGACACCTGGAGACGAAGCAACAACTGTGTCAATACCCGGTAAGCCAAACATTTCATACTAATTCTATTTAATAGTTTAAACATATTTTATTGACAAATATCAAAAGGATTGAGCACAAGTTTCAAAAACTTAGAAAAGCCCTTTCCATACATACAAATGATAGACAAAATTTAATACAAACAAGATTGTGAAATAGTATATACAATAATAAATAATTTATAAGTAATATAAGTAAAGTCAGATGAATTATATCGTAAAGCTCTATATAAAATAAGTGAAGAGGTGATAAAGAGAATATAAAATTATATTTAAAACATTGAAAAATAAAGTTTAATAAATGGGATATAAATGAACAGATCCATGTATAAAAGGATAAAAAAAGAAGAACATTCAACCAGCCAGATCTTGGCTAATCTATATTAATATTTGTGACTGTCGTTTGTTTGTCTGTCTGTCTGTCCAGGGTTGGGGGCTACACTAGTTCTGTCCCGAAAGTAAAATTTTGTGTATAGCGGTAGCTAGAACCGGGGAGTAACATAAGCCTGGTGGCGACATCTTCCTGAAACAGTGGCCCGAGAAATCCCTCTTTGGCCATTGCTGGATTGACTTCTGATACTTGAGCTTTTGCGGGAGTGTGTCTATTCTTGTAATATTAATATAGCATGACCCTGGTGATCAATCAGGGAAAGTTAAAGATGCATATTTCGTAAAATTTAGATAAAGAGTTGACAGTTCTCGCAATAATAGTTTAAAAAATAGATAATGAAAGGGGAATATGTTTAAAGTTTCAGTCAAGTTACTTCATTCTGAGATGAGTTATCGTCGTTTACAGAAGAGCTTAGTCTCGATGGTCATTTTTGAATTAAATCATAAATCTGTTAAAAATCTGGTATGTAAATAAATGTCGGATAAATTATTTATATAACATTGGAGGTGAAAGGAATGATCTGCAATAGACAAATTTAGCTCTAAAAATGCATCTTTAACCAGCATAACATCCTTTATACTCAGTTATTATAAAATCTCAGTATGTTTCACGTCATTTAGCATGGTTAAACATAAGCGATAAAATCTCAATACGTTTCACTTACTTTCCGCATGATTTAATTTTAGCGATAAACGATCGATGTACATAGATGATAATTTGGCAGCCATTTGATTGTGACTTAAAAATTTCATTCAACTTCATGTATCCTTTCAAACGTTCCAGACGCAAAAATTAATAATTTATATATTTGAAAGAAAGGTATTTTTACAGCTACAAAATAAACTGTGTTCGTTTTTTCGAAATGCAAGATGATATTGATTTCATTTATGGCATACGAATATAAAAAAGCTGATAAGAATATTATATGACTTGCTGCTATGTATTTATATTGATAGTGTTGCTATGTATTATTATCCTAAAATATCATCCGAAATACGAATACAAACCAAGCATGTGTGAATATTTCATAGTTTGATTGTCTATTGTTGTTGTGTTGAAAAGTGAAGTAACTATATATCAACATTGTTATGCATACTGTTTGTTTTAAAGATAATGTCCCGCAATATAATCAAGCAAAGATGGTCACCTAAATGGAGGTCGGGTGTTCGATCCTTGCATTGGCCGAGAAAGTTCATCCAGATTTTCCGGCGTGGTTTCCCCTTGTCCGGGCAAAATTTCCCTCATAGCACACTGTATGGCGTATGCTCGTCTTCATTAGCCCAGTTTGGGGCAGAACAGTAGGACGTTAAACCCCATTTCATTTCATTTGAGTTAAGACAAAGTTGCTGCGTGGACATAATGGCTATATTCAGACATTACATGACTGACATAAAATCAAGTAGAATCATTCTATTTAGTCTGTTGTATTTTCCCAGGCGAGTCTTGATAGATTTGTATAAATACCTGCAATATGTACATTTTATCTGAGTACTGATTTACTTAATTGCCCAGAAATCGAATCAGAAATTTCCAAGATGAGCCACGAATGGAAGGAATCTGGTCTTAGGGGACATTATATTGACATACTCGTCCAACTAGTTCATGAAACATGATATGAAATAAGCTGATATTGCACAAATACGCTGCAAATATTTTCTCAGGGGATGATGAAAACTTTCAACTACGGAGCTGGTTATATTCCCCCTACCCCCACCCCCGGTAACAGAATCCTGGCTACGCCTCTGTTGTAAACCAGCAGAGGTCATAAAGTCCTAAGCACCTAAATGACCGTTCAATTTGATGAAAATTATAGAGTACTTTGTTACACTGTTTTGTTGGTATTTTAGCTATGATTATCCGTTTTTTAATTATGTTTGCATTTTTTTGTTCTTCAGGAGGTTGTGCCCCGGTTAGAAATTTAAGGTTTGACACAGGCCTTACTTTAGATTGTCCAGTCCTAGAAGAACTAACAACAAGTTCCAGATTAGAATGCCTTTATCACTGTGTGCGTCATACAGGATGTACATGTTTAAACTTTATGAATAATCAACTGACTATGAACTGTGCTTTATTACAATGCAGTGGTAACCCCGGTGCACTTGTCAACCCGAACGCTTTGTGTATTTGCTTGTAAAATTCCTTAAAGGGACAATAACACAATAACCATAAATAAAAGCTAATTTGTTAATAAATGGCTTAATCTACGCTCAATTAAACTCAAATTGATTATTCAACATTTAACAAGGAAATCAAAATATCAACGCTAGATAATAGCCTGGTTTGCATTCAATCAGACTGAAAATCGGCTAGTGAGAACACCTAATGTTTGAAAATGTTTAAATCCCCCAAACGACGATCAACGGCTTTCATCTACTTGGTCACAGATTTTATAAGCCAGCAGAGGGAGCCACGGTGGGTAAGACACTGGCTCGCTAGACTGGGGGTCGCGTGTTCGATCCCTGCATTGGTCGATATAAGAGTAGGCTATAGTGCCACTGCTCGGGTAAAATCTACCTCATAGCGGAAGGTATGGTATGTCCGTCTTCATTAGCCCAGTATAGGAGCAGAACAGTAGGAAGTTAAACCCCAATTCATTTCATTTCATTTCATTTGTAAGCCAGCAAGCCAGCAACCAGAAAACGATTTGACCGAATTGATCATTATCTGTTAAAAACTGTTTTGTTATTTTTGGACTTTCTGCAATATCACCAGTGATCTTATGATATGTTAGCGTTTAACATTCAATTTTAAAATCTTAATTTCCATAAAAGCCATATCAGTGAAATACAGTTTTGAACATTTTTTTGTATAGAAACGTCTATAAATTGTTCAAACTAATAAGCAACATACACTTAATAACATTATATCCGTTCTGTTATAGGATGTGCACTCAGATCGATCAAAACGTATAGGAAATGTTTTCGTTGTACCACTCGAGTGTCTAGGTAAGGTTGTTGCTAAAATGCGGAACTATTGAGAAAAATCCGTTATTTTTTATACATTGTTTATATAATTTGTCATCATCAAAAGGTAATATTGTGTTATGTTTCATGTTGATAACATTAAATATTACACAGCTGTCTAGTCTTTCGGATGGGACGAAAAACCGCGGTCCCGTGTACATATTGGCGTGCACGTAAAAGATCCCTTGACAGTAGACCATAGTGTCGCTGCATGGCGTATGTCCGTCTTTATTAGCCCAGTTCGGAGCAGAACAGTAGGACGTTAAACTCAATTTCATTTCATTTCATTTAAATATCACCAAAATGAAAGTCACGCGGTTTTTTAAATTATTAAGTAGTAACGGTTTATTTCCCTGCAATCTGATTGGTCAGACATTTAATGTCATGATCGGCGTATGAATTTTATCAGACTTAATTCTTACTTAATATTCAAAAAGTATTAGCTTGATCGAAAAGATTTGAAAACATAAATTTTTCTTTACTGTGGAAAAAACCAAAAAACAATGTGGCATCAAATTTTATTTACGACAAAGCAATATTTATACAACAACTAGCTACCCGAGGGGCTAAATCTATTTGTTAAGGCCAGCTCAATTTGTGTCAAGGTCGCTGAGATGTAAACAAGGTTAGGAAACGTGATTATTGGCGAGACTGTAGGGTAAGCATTGGGGCTAAGTCCAGGGTTAGGGTTGGGATTAGTGCTAGCCCTGTTTACATCTCGTGACCTATGGCGAAAAATTGAGCTGGCCTTATCATTTAGCACTAACCCTACCGGAGGCCTGCAACGAAATGACAATTAAATCCATCTGAGTACATGTTCCTTTACTTCTGAAAGTAGATGGCACTTCCGGTTACTAAAATCTGGATTAAGACGAGTAATTCACTTCCCATTAACTTCATTGTTCAATAACATTTCTTGGCTTGTAACATATTTTTTTTTAAACATTCCAATGATCTTAATGCCATTGTAACAATCATCAGATATAAAAATATTGGCGGCGTTAACCGTTTAACGTTCGACATTTAATAATAGATGTTCGTGATACTAAACTAAAGGTAACATATAACAGCCATATTGATTTCAAAAACAAAATATATGGCAACATTAAATCAGAAAAGATAAAAATGAGTGATAATAATAATATTAAATCAATGTTCCTAAAGCAACGACCACGAGTTTTAAAACATCTGGGGGTGGAAGAAGTGGCCAAATGGTTAATGCGTGCGCGTTGTATCACAAAGACTGTCATTAGGTCAACTGGCGTGGTCGCCTGTCCAACCTCGTGGGTTTTCTCCGGGTCCACTCGACACAAACTAGGTAATTTTGGGACTAACATATGGTTTAATTTTATTAATTCGCTTGCGCGTAGGGGTCTTTAGCAGTGGGAGGAAACCAGAGGCCCCGGAGAAAACCTACCAGGTTGGACAGGCGACCATTTTCCTTGTCACGTACAACTGGGGAATCAAAACCATGCCAGTTAACTCAATGACAGACCTTATGGTGCAGTGCGCTTCAAGTACAACAATCCAGCTATATCGTTTCCTTGTACATCATACTTGGGGATCACGTGGCTTAGTGGGTAAGACACTGGCTCGCTAGCCTGGAGGTCGGGTGTTCGATCCCTGCATTGGCCGAGACAGTTCATTCAGATTTTCCGGCGTGGTTTCCCCCTTGTCAGTGATGCAGGATGGAGGGCCTGACAAGGACAGCTGTTTAGTCGTTCGGATGGGACGAAAAACCGAGGTCCCGTGTACACATTGGCGTGCATTGTTCTGAACCCTTTTTTAAACCCGGTACTCATATCCCATTGAATTAACACAATGGCACGTTCTTAGTGTTCAGTTGCGTGGTTCCCCCTTGTCAGTGATGCATCACGAAGAGCCTGACAAAGACAGCTGTCTAGTTGTTTGGATGGGACGAAAAACCATGGTCCCGTGTAAACATTGGCGTGCACGTAAAAGATCATTTGGCAGTTGGAATTCAATATAAGAGCAGGGCGCAGTGCCGCTGCCCGGGCAAAATTTCCTTCATAGCACACTGTATGGCGTATGCCCGTCTTCATTAGCCCAGTTTAGGAGCAGAACAGTAGGACGTTAAACCCCATTTCATTTCATTTTGTACATCATACTTACCTGTTTAATTATGTACTTTGACACACTTCTTGAGAATTCATTTTTAGAAGCTTAGAAATTTTACTTTTATAATTAATTTGCCAAGCTTTTATTTGTAGCAGTTTACCACATTGGTGTCTGTCTTATAATGGGTCTCTAGTATTGTACCAGAATAGGGAAACATTGTTATGGATAGACTATTATATTTATGAAGTGAGGATAAGTCTGAGGCTCGGAGCGTGACTGTGGTTCATTAAAAATGGTAGTAATTTATAAGATCAACAACAAATATAAGATCGTTCAATCAAAAATCCACCATATTGAAAATACATTTGAATACGCCTGATCATATACAATATGATTAAAACACAGATCCTATTTCGTTTCGTTTTTTATAGTTCAAAATTTCGTTTTATTTGTCTTTACTACACTAGGATCTGAAAGAGTTGTTATATAACCTGCGTTCTGGATAGCGTGAGGGATTAGCCAATGAAACCATCTGTTACGACGACTTCTTGGCGTTTGATGCACGGAACTGTGCGTAAACCACTAGAAACGTCAACGCTGATTGATTAATCAATGTCTGACGTCATAGACGTCGTACCGTCTAAAGGTGCACAACCGAATTAATCGTATTAATGAATTTGCTCCGTTGGAAGGTAAGAAATGAAATGAAATGGGTTTAACGTCCTACTGTTCTGCTCCGACTGGGCTATTGAAGACGGGCACACGCCAGGCTGTGTATTATAAGGGAAATTTTGCCCGGGCAGCGGCACTATGGCCTACTCTTATATTGAATTCCAACTGCCAAGGGAACATTTACGTGCATGTCTGTGTATACACGGGACCTCGGTTTTGCGTCCCATCCGAACGACTAGACAGCTATCCTTGTCAGACTCTTCGCCCTGCACCACTGACAAGGGGAAACCACGTCGGAATCAAGGTGAGACATATTATATGGTTTTAAAACAACTCTAGGCCATTGGGGTGTTTGAACAACACGCCTAGTCATGGGGCGGATCAAGGAATATTTGCAGGAGGGGGTTTGCCCGGTTCCTGTTAAGGAAATTTAACAGTTGACAATGCATGATGCCATCACCGTCTCCAAATTACGTAGGCATACATACACACTAAGCATGAAAAATTCAACACTCCGTTTGACGTTACTTTTTATTATGGATTAATACGAGCACACCGACATCCCTCTGGATCCGCCCCCTGCAAGTCACTGGTTTGCGTCATCTTCTCGTTATTTGTTGTCGTCCATTGTAACGAGTCTTTGTTTATTGTCTTATTGCGTCAGTATGTTTTATAAATAATTGTGTTAATTGGTATTTCAATATTTACATCAGCAGGACAGCTCCGATAACGATGAATAACACGCTTATTGAAGTATTTAAAGGACAATATTCGTGTCAGCCATTATCACATATGTGATAGCATTGGTTAAACAGGACAGCTCCGATAATGATGTAAAGCACGCTGATTGAAGTACTTAAGGGACAATATTGGTGTCAGCCATTATCACATGTTAAACACGCTCCAGATAAATTGTCAGATATCCTCTCACAGCCTCACATAACAACTTTTGGTCTTCGAAGGAATTATTAGTGAGCAGAAATTCGCCCGTGTATCTTCTATCGCTCGTTACTGCAGTCAGTTATATAGGATAACTTGTGTTTTCCTTTTGCTTTCGTCACTTCCGTTTCTTAAAATCTTCGTAAAACATCTACCAAAGCAAGGTCTATGTCTTAGAATTATATTTGGAACGTGTTTAACCAGTTCTATCACATATATAATAATGACTGATACCGATATTGTCCTTTAAGGTCATATAAAAACAACGAAACTAGATCATAATATATTTTAAAAACAAATTAGGTAGCAAACGCTTCGTAAGCTGAAGAACCTAGATATTTTTACGTAACAATAATTTATATACCCCCCTCCCCCCAACAACCCCCCCCCCCCCCAAAAAGAAATGGAATAAATACCCGAATACCAAAATCCACACATTCCCCCCCCCCCCAAGAAATCAAATATTACACCCAACAGTAAATATATTTGGTCATTATACATATTACTCCCAACAGTAAATACATTTGGCCATTATACATATTACTCCCAACAGTAAATTATATATTTGGCCATTATACACCTTACTCCCAACAATAAATATATTTAGTCATTATACATATTACCCCCAATAGTAAATATATATTTGGTCATTATATAAATATTTCTAAGGTGTGACATTAGTAAATATATGTTATTATACATATAACTCCCAACAGCGATGACATTAGTAAATATGCAGA